TGGCAACCCAAATTTAAGTGGTCCTCACTTAATGACCAGGTGCTCGCTTAGTGGTCAATTGCTTAGCAAGTGCTTTTTGCCAGTTTCCAAGGCCTGGGGAGGCCCTGGCAAGGTCCAGGCAGGTGGCCATGTGGCTGGCAACCCAAATTTAAGTGGTACTCAATTAATGACCAGGTGCTTGCTTAGTGGCCAATTGCTTAGCATGATATAAGGATTAATGCAAATTGGAAAGGAAAGACTGCAGAGATTGTGCACAAGTGATTTGTACCAACCAACACACTATATGTAACTGAAGATGGTTTATGTTTTATGTTTTTGTTTATATTTTTAAAAAAATAAAACATTTTTATTTAAAATATTTAATTTATGTATGCATGCAACTTCTTGTCACATTGATGTTGCTATATATTGATTTAAGCAGAAACAGATAATGTATAACATTAATGTAACAAGATGTTGCTTGTCTCCCTTTTGGTAAGTTGCTTTTTTATTTATGTATTTATTTAATTTTTTTACTATCTGTTTTTGTTTTATTAATCATAAAAACAAAACAGATACTAAAAAAATAAATAAACACTTGGAAGGGATTTTTGTGCATGTGCAGTAAAAAAAAACAGGTTGTTTTTTTTACTTTGGAGTGGCAGATAGGGGCAGGGACCGGAACAGCAAAGGGAGGGGTGGACGGGGGGAGAATGAGGAAGGGATTTTCGGGCATGCGCAGTAATAAAAACCAGTTTTTGGCCCGTAGGAGCAGCAGAGAGGGACGGGGCCAAGCAGGTGTCGGTTTTACCGGTTCTTAGAACTACCGGTGATGTTAACAAGCGGTTCTATAGAACCGGTGCGAACCGGTAGAAACCCACCCCTGGATGGATGGATGGATAGATAGATAGATAGATAGATAGATAGATAGATAGATAGATAGATAGATAGATAGATAGATAGATACTGTCCATCTCTCAATATTTAATTTGTTTTTGTTTGGTGGACCTCTGTTTAAAAAAGGAATTGAGTGTCCTGACTGTAATTATTTTTTTCATGAGGATTTGGTTCTGTTTTTGTACCACTGGAAATGTGAAATAAAAATTATTTTAGGTAAATATATATGAATAAAATATGTATTCTCTTTTTCTTATCTTCTTTTTTATTTGGTATCTATGGAGATTCTTAGTCATCCAGATCATTGTTGTCCCAAAGGTGCTTTTTCAAAAAGCAACTGAACTTTCTTTGTTTTTCCTTGAAGATGTTTCGCTTCTCAACCAAGGAGCTTTTTCATTACTTCAGTTCTTCCTCTTCAGAACTGAAGAAGCTTGTCAGTCGAGAAGCTAAATGTCTTCAAGGAAAAATAAAGGAAGTCCAGTTGCCTTTTGAAAAAGCACCTTTCGCATTCCTTTTTGTTTCCATGCTTGTTCTTGTTTTTGCTCTACGGCTGGGGAATTGATAATAGTTGCATAAGAATCTCTCTTCTCCTCAACCTGAGAGCATTTTCTAGTCAAAATCAGTCTCCTGAAAACAATAATCTGAGCCAAATTATACAAGTTCAGAACTACAATGTAACCTCTGTATTTGTAGATCTTGGGAGATTAATGGCGTGGAATGAAGAAGAAATTGATATTTTTAATGCTATGTGTTTTTTAATAAATAAAAATTTAACCATGAGATCATTTGATTTGCACTACTTCAAACGTACGCAGTAGTTCTAGCCAATGTTCTTTTTTTGGAGAATGGCATAGCCTTTATGATACAAGTTCTAAAGACCTTAGTGGTAGTTGAAGTTGCCATCCTGTAGTGGTTTCCTAAGAACAAGCTTCATTGGGCACAGTGGGATTTACTTTGGAGTAGCTTTGAGATGGCACTGTTTATATCTGCAGTCAGGTGCTGCAAGAACAATGGAACACAGACTCCTCAGATATTTGTTTCTCAAGTTTTCTCTTTTTCTCCATAGCTCCTGCCCAGGCCCAGATCATCCATGCTGGGCAGGCATGTGTTGTAAAGGAAGATAACATCAGTGAACGAGTGTATACTATTCGGGAAGGTGACATCCTTGTTCTGCAGTGTTTGGTTACAGGGCACCCACGGCCACAGGTAAGCTTTCTCTTTTTATTATCAGGATATTGTTAGATTGTTTGGCCAGATATTCTCAGATATTTGCTGCTGTATCAATATAGGGATTCTTCTTCATCATTTTTTAAAATTTTATTCTGCTTGATTTTGAGCAACTGTGGGAAGCTATCAATAACCAAACAAAGATATTACAGTAAAACATTTAAAATAAAGGAGAAAAAAGATAGCAAAAGCAATAAAGGGAGGGGTTTCATTCTTCCTCACTGAAGGCCTGGGTGTTTCACAATTTCCCATTCCCCAAGCTGGCATAACCAATGGCAAGGAATTGTAGAGGTTGTAGAACCAGGAAACCAATTCATACAAGCCACAATATGCAGATTCCTGGCCAATTCAATCTCATAGAGGTTTTTTTTTTTTTTTTTTTTTTGAACAACAGCAAAGTGGTGGCCATCTGAATATCAGGAGGAAATCTCGTTCTAGAGTGCAGATGCTACTACAGAGAAGATGCTCTTCTCAGGACCCAATTGATGACTTTGTATATTCGAAGAAACCCATAGGACACCAGCCCTGCAAAATTGAATTGGCCAGGTAGAATATCCATTGCATATGTGGCATTCAGAAATGTCTAATGAAATAAAACACATTGTCAAATTCACCATCATGTGATATATTCCTTCTGCTTTGTTTCATCCACAAAACAGAAAGAATCGGTATATTGTAGCTAATATGAGTTGGTTGTCTCGTCATACAACTTCTACTAAGAAGAAACATTTAGAAGTTGTGGCATTGTGTATACACTTTGAGTACTTTGCAGGGCCTTCTTCAGTCATGTTAATTTGAAGCTTTTCAGTGCTCTAATTTTCCAAAATAACTACTACACAGTAGGGGTGGGATGCTACCGGTTCTGCCCGGCTCTATAGAACTGGTAGCTCTGAAGAGCAGCAGACACAGGACCATTTCTATGTTTGCTGCTCTTTGGCCCACCCGCCCGCCCGTCTGGGCTCTTACCTGTCCTTTATTTCTTGCTTTTTCAACCTCAGCTGCTTTGTGCGGCACAGCTGAGCTTCAAAAAGCAGTAAAAAAGAGGCTTTTCAAACGCTGCGCACCTGTGTGCAGCGCTTATCAGCTGTCTGGGCAGGAAGCTTAAAGTTTATTTGCACACGCAAAACACAATCACTGAACCGGTAGTAACACTGGTTGAATCCCACCCCTGCTACACAGGTATTATCATAGACTGACGACTGAAAGATTTCTCATCTTTCCAGTAATCTCACATTATAAGAGTGACTGTAACCTCCTTTGAAAGAAAAAAAAACCAATTTGAAACATGCAAGAGCATGTCCTAAACATATATTTTTAAATCATTAAAGCAGCTGTGTGCTTTGCCCCCCCAGGTTTGTGTATTTGCTTCAGAAGCTGCCCCTGGCTGTCTTTGCATGCAAAGGGTGTATGTCAAGCCAAGTTGTTTCACTGGGAGAAAAATGTGGAGAAATATTGGGGGAAATGTGAAGCAATTATGCCTGTACATGCATGTGGTGACTTTTAGGAGCACCTTCCAAAGCAATAATACAAGCCTGGAGAAAATTGCACCTGCTTTAACAATTCCCTCAAAAGTGCTTTTAGATATCCAAAGTATCTCTTTCAAAATATTTTTACAGCATGAAGTTGGACTATTATTAAGTAAAACGAGTCCACCTTTTCCAAATGAGAAGAAAAAATACTGACTGGTGTAGAAAACAGAATTACAAACCGCACAGTCAACTGAGCTAGCTTCCTGCACAAAAATACAATATATATATATAAACTCTGTAATTTCAGTTTTGAATGGTTTCTCTATGGCGTACATTCTTCTAACATTGTTATGTCTTGATCTAGCCTTTTATAGCACCTTCACAGTGGCTCTTCCTGCTTAGAAGACAAGGTTACATAGCTAGAGGCCATCAAGGCAAAGAGCTTGGAAATATATTTCTATTATTATTTAAAAGTAAAGAGAAGTAGAAGATTCAGCTGTTTTTGTTCATACTATACATGATGCAGGAGGAAGGCTTAGCATACAGATAAAGAACTTCTATTCACTCATATCATGGCTGTTATATCCATGGCATCTGAATTTACAGCATGAATATAAATCCATATTTCTTGATTTCTAGGGCTCCCTCCTTTTATTTTGATTTTCTCTCGAACTAGTTTTCTTGCCTTTGCTTATCATTAGTCAGGAAGGGGCAGAGTTTTGAAATTTGCTTTAAAGTTTGTAAAAAAAAAAAGACTTAACAAATTGGAGTGATGAGTAACACTCAGAGGGACCAGTGGGAATGGGCAGCAATACTTACCGTCTCTCATCTCATCTTCCTCTTGTATCGTTTCTCTGCTCCTTCTCTCCTGCTTCTCGAAACCAAAGATTTATCTTTTGACCTTTGCTTAATCCCCTCCCAACTCTTCTCTCAGTTAGTCATTAAAGTTCCAAAATAAGGTCAAACTAAATAAATGAAGCCAAAATGAAGAGAGAAAAAACAGAGGAAAGATTAAAGAACCAACAGAAGCAGTCATGCAAACAGAATGCCTTTTAAGAGGCTTCAGGCTTTTAATGAGAGTACAAAGGCTAAACAAATCCCTCATGGGCTGCCATTAACTCTACAGGTAGAGCAAGGTGAGGTCTGCTGAACCTGATCATCCCAAGCCTGAAATCCAAGCCACCTTGCATATAGACTATCAATCAGAATAGAGCTGGAAGGGACCTTGGAGGTCTTCTAGTCCAATCCCCTGCTCAAGCAGGAGATCTTATATAATTTCAGACAAGTGGGTGTCCAGTCTCATCTTAAAAACCTCCAGTGGTGAAGCACCTACAGCTTCTGAAGGCAAGCTGTTCCACTGGTTAATTGTCCTCTCTGTTAAGAAGTTTCTCCTTAATTCCAGGTTGTTTCTCTCCTTGATTAGTTTTCATCCATTGTTTCTTGTCCTGCCCTCTGGTGCTTTGGAAAATAAATCGACCCCTTCCTGTTTGTGGCAGCCTCTCAAATACTGAGATACTGCTATCATGTCGTGTCAGGCCTGTGGGCAAGGAGAAGATTACCAAAAGCATATGAAAGCACTAATAATGTTGCTTTCCAACTTTGCAGTTTTACAGGTTGCCAAATATTTTAATTCCCAATTGTCCCTCCTGGGTTTTGTCTGATTTTGGCAAATTTGTTCTGTTTAAGCTTTGGATTAGCATCTGCAAAATGGGAATAACTGTGCCTTTCATCACACAGAGGAATCTGTGAAAAGTACTTTCAGTCTGAAGTGAAAATTGTCCCCAAACCCACATCTACTTTCTCACTATCGCATCTTTTTATATCCACTCACTCTGAACCCTCCAAAATATAGTACATGAATTCCATTTTTTAATTTTTTTTAATTGTATTACCTCCTCCCGCTGTTTCTGGTCCATTTCACACATCAAGCAGGGGAAGGTAGTCAGAGGAAATCAAAGCATGTCGGGATCGTATCGTGGAAAGGATAGGTTTGTTGCTTGAAAGCTGCTGATTTAGTTCAGACTGACAGTAGCCACGTCTGGGAAAAAGCTAATCTAGAGACATGGTTATGATTGTATTGAACCATACGGGTGGAATATAGGATGCTGCTTTCAGTATTCATAGGGCTTGGTCTATCCTCTGTTTTCATCTATAATGACTAAGACTTCACACTGGAAGCTTTCCTTTTCATGCTTAGAAACATCAGTGGAAGAACTTGATGCTTTCTGCATGCCAGATGTATGTGCCTGAGCCCTTAGCAACCTCACTAGCATCAGCTCACATCCTACCTCAGGTCAATATCCCTGATAAATAATTATAACACAATTGTTAAGGAGGCCAATTTCAATTTAAAGGATCCTTTTGCTGTTGGCTTTTTTCTGTTCTCTTTAAAGAAGGTGTAGTTGCTATTTTAGGAATTAGTTCTGCTAGCTGAGGAGTGAAATCCTTACCTACTTTTTTTAAAAAAAAAAAAGGTCAAGGTAACGATAGAGGATCTGGATGAGAGGATGGAAGGGCACCGAAACACTACTTAACTTCCTAATGAAATTGTGGGATTTGAAACTTCACTGATTCTGGCAACCAATTAGAGAAGTATGGATGGTCTATATTTGGCTCCACTTGCCAGGGGAAGTTGTAAGGCAAGAAGCCAGCCTATGGAGCGTCTGGCTAAAATTGCCCTTAAGTAGGAATGCCCATGTTTGCCATATAAGAAACTTGATTTTTCTACTGAGTAGAACTTTGCCTACAGAAGATTCCAGGTTTAATTTCTAGTAGAGTCCACTTAGGATACAAAGAATTTCCTGCCAGGAAATCTGGAGAACTGCACCCTGTCAACGTAAATATTATTGTCATGCCCTTGGTATAGTCGGACTCTGAGGGAGAGGAGGAACAGCGGACAGGGAGTGGAGGTGTGGCTCCGGAGATTGTGGAGGAGGCTGGGGAAGGGCAGAGGCCGGCTGGCCAGTCAGGGGAAGAACCAGGCCCATCTCCTCTTCATCCTAGGACATGCAGGGAAGAATGGAGAAGGCAACAACTTGGCTTATGAGAGAGGAAGCAGCTCCTCATTGGTTGCAGCTGGAGAGAATAGTATATAAGAGAGATGGTTAAAACACAGCATTGCCCGAAGCAAAGTGTGTTTTATTTTGGGCTACAGTTATCTTGGTTGGCATCCTTCCAATAGACTGTGCCTTGTTATCTCCTTGAATTTGGTAATTACTGGTCTGTTGTGGAAATGTCTTCATTGTAGTTTGTTTGGTTTTTTATTTCACCTCTATCTGCTTATTAAGTTCGAACTGTATTGCTTTCTTTTGAAGACTATTTTGGAGTAAGTTTTATCTCCAACTGAGAATTATTGAACAGTGGGGCCAAGTTGGAGGCATTAAAGGACATTTATTTATGTTTTGGATTTTGTTACGTTTGTGTTACACTCCAGGTCATCACAATTATTCTCCCAAAAGGAACAGCCCATGTATTAACAAGGAGGCATAACCTAGCTCAGTGATGGCGAAC